AGGATCCCCATTGGGGAGATAAGGCTCCGCCTACGTCACACCCACAACTCGTGCAAGTATTGGGAGAGGATTGATAGTAACCATACCCACAGCTGCTGCATTTGTCACCAACAGCATTAGGGACACAGGAGCACTGCCCATCATTAGTACATAATGGAGAAAGACTAAGAGAAGAATGACAACCACAATCTAGAGAGAGGGAGAGAGAGGGAGAGAGAGAGAGAGAGAGAGAGAGAGAGAGAGAGAGAGGGAGGGAGAGAGAGGGAGGGGGAAAAAGAGAGAGAGAGAGAGAGGGAGAGAGAGGGAGAGGGAGAGAGAGAGAGAGAAAAATTTTAAAAGAGGAGGATGGTAAATGTGTGGGGGCTATAAACTCAGTACAATTATTCATGTCAACATTAGAATTTCAGTAACGGTAATGAATACTAATAAGCTCGTTATGAATATAATAGACCACACCTACTCCCCACACACATACATGTACATGTACACAAACAATTAAATGCACCTTGGCAACCATCAGGATTAGCTGATGATAGATTATAAGTTCCATTAACACACATACTGCAATCAGGACCTTGAACATTTGATTTGCATGAACACTGACCAACAGCAGCTGTACAATTGATACTAGCATTAGCTGTACCAGCTGTATTACAATCACAAGCTATAGGGATTAAGGAGAGATTGGAAGAGGGAGAGAGTGAAGAAAGAGATATAAATAAATGTCATTATGAATTGCAAGTGCAAGACAATCCAAAACATAAATCATTCAAAAACAGAATCATATCCATTGTGTGTGGCCAGGGGACAAATAAAAAATAAAATAAAAAAGCCATAAATAATCAAATAAATGAATAAACTCACACTTGCAATAGTTCACAGAAGATACCGAGACATTAGCCTGTGGGTAATACCCAGGAGCACACTCACTGCAGTGAGGACCAGCTGTGTTATGAGTACAGTTAATACATCGACCGCCACTTCCAGTAGAATCATACAGTGAAGCATCAAATACACAAGAAGATGTGTGATTGTTGCAGTTGCAGGCTGAAAAAGAGAGGAGCATAACATTAACTCATAAATTAGTATGTAACATTTGTTGCAAACAACTTTTTGCATGCAACACAGTTTATACAGGAGTCAATGGAGCTCGCAACATGTTGCACGAAATAGGAAACAGTTCTATTTCATGCAACATGTTGCAAGCTTCATTGACTCCTGTATAAACTGTGTTCCATTCAATAAATGTTGCATAGTGCATGTTGGGGTTTATATACTTACCTTTGCATTTAAAAGGAGCCCCACCATTAGATATCTGCCAAGGAAGATCATGGTAGAAATCCTGACATCTCTCGCAATTATCCCCAGCAGTATTATGCT